GGACTACAAGCGCCTGCCACAACACCCAGCTATTTTTTGGTTGCAGCCATCATTATTGTTTGGCGGGTCCGGGCTGGGGATTCAAACCTGCCACCTTAGGTGTACGTGGCTGGCACCTTAGCTGGTTGAGCTATAGGCGCCGAGCCTTAATTTTTAATTTTTAATGAAATTTCTAGATGGGGTCTTGCTGTGTTGTCCAGGCTGCATTGCAGTGGCTGTTCACAGGTGTGGTCATAGCTCACAGCAGCCTCAAGCTCCTGGGCTCAACTGATCCTCCTGGCTTAGCCTCCTGAGTAGCTGAGACTATAGGCACCTACCACTGTGCCATGTGGCAGTTTTGTTTTATACAGATAACTTTCTAAAATTACAATCAGAAATCAAAATAAAAGATAAAATTTATCCATAGATGTGCTATCTGCAAATTATATTATGTAAAGCTTTTTACTGTTTCTGTTTTTATTAATTTAAAATATGGCCATTCATATCTTATATTTGAAGATATAGACAAATACAAATTATTTTCTAGGGTGATTATTTTTGAGATATATAAAGAAATAATGAGTGTGGTACCTGTAGCTCAAAGGTGTAGGGTGCTGGCCGGCCCCATATACTGGAGGTGTCGGGTTCAAACCCTACCTCAGCAAAAAACTGCAAAAAAAAAAAAAAATGTGGCTCAGCACCTATAGCTGAAGCGGCTAAGGCGCCAACCACATACATCAGAGCTGGCGGGTTCAAATCTAGCCCGGGCCTGCCAAACAACAATGACAACTACAACCAAAAAATAGCTGGGCATTGTGGCGGGTGGCTGTACTCCCAGATACTTGGGAGGCTGAGGCAAGAGAATCGCTTAAGCCCAGGAGTTGGAGGTTGCTGTGAGCTGTGATGCCACAGCATTCTACCCAGGGCAACTGCTTGAGTCTCTGTCTCAAAAAAAGAGAAAGAAATAATGTTATCTGAGATTTCCTTATAAAAGGAAGTCTGTGCTGACAATTACATTTAGGGAAAGAGATGCCGGGAACTAAAATCAGAGTAACTACCTGAAGACAGTAACTACAGGTTTGATAGTAGCCTGGCATGTAGCAATGTTACTAGTCCTCCCGAGGGTGAGAAAGCATGGCTTCCGTGTTTGCGTGGCTAGGGTAGGACTTGCAGGACTTGTCCCATGGATGAGCCTGTGGCCTGCAACCTTGGGACCCAGTGGGAGTTGGGGTCTACTCTGATGACTGCAGTGCTCAAATGGATAGCAAGCCCCTGTTCTCTTCCTGCCATGGCCAAGAGCCTGGCGCTCTGCTGGCTCAGGAAGAGCGTGGGAAAGTGTGAAACCCTCAGCCAGCTCTCTCCTGACTCTTTGCTCTTAGGTTTCGCAGGCCGTTCAGTGGCTGGTCTCTCGCTGTCCCCGTGCCCTGGATCTTTGCTGCCAGACACTAATTCAGTATGTCGAAGATGGGCTTGGCCGGGAATTCAGTGGCCGTTTTTTCCACGACAGAAGAGAGCGGCGTCTAGGTGGCCTGGCTGCACAGGAGCCAGGCGCTGTCATCGAGCTGTTCAACAGTGTGCTGCGGTTCCTAGCCTCTGTGGTGTCCTCTGAGCAGCTGTGCGACCTTTCCTGGCCTGTCCCTGAGTTTGCCGAGGCCGGGGGCAGCCGGCTGCTTCCTCACCTGCACTGGAACGCCCCTGAGCACCTCGCTTGGTTGAAGCAGGCCATACTGGGGTTCCAGCTCCCACAGATGGACCTTCCACCCCCAGGGGGTGCGTGTATCTAAGAGGAGCAGTGGATGGGTCTGGCAGATGTTTGGCACTGGTGTGCAGGTCCTGCCTACGCACTGTGTACCTGTTTGTGCCTGTGCAGTGTGGGCCGGTGTCTAGGACACAGCTGGGCTCTGTAGCATGGTGGCCTTTCCCCTAGCACAGCCATCCCTGAGCGCTGCTGGTGGGCAAGACACTAGCCCTGAATCCTGCCTGCCCTACAGGGGCCCTGTTTTTGGAACACATGGGCTTGAGGAGAACATGTGGTCACATGGCCCTGTTCCTGAGCCAGTGGCTCTGCTGGGGCTATGGCACCCTGTGCTGATTTAGTACCAGGCTCTTGGTCAGAGAAGGCCCTGGCTGTGCCTGCCGGAGGCCTCCAGGCTGTTTTGACGCAGACTCTCCAGGTCCCGCATAGCATGGGCTGCAGGGGGATGCAGTCATGGCCTTGGCACGGCCTCGGGCCCCATCTGGGTTGTGGGGTGTGTTCGTCGTAGGTCTAACTGATTGATGCTTATTACTGAAGGGGCCCAGAGAGGAGCAAATGGGCTGTATGTAGCCCTCCTTCCTTGACTGGGTTGGAGTCCCTGAGAGCAGCTGAGATACTTTGACCAGGTTCTCCTGGGTGCTGCCACAGGCTGGGGCCTTAAGGGCTTCTGGGGGAGCTGTACTGCAGACACCTCCAGGTGACTGTCTGCCGCCCTTGCCTGGGCATGAGCCACCCTCTCCCTCCATGGCTAGGATCTGAAAGCTGACTTCTCAGCTATCCAGCTGTCTTCTGAGAAACTACAGAAAGTTCAGAATATTCCTTGTGGATTCTTACCTGCCCTTGGCACTGTCTCTCCAGCCCCCTGGTTGCCGGTATGCTCCATGGTTGTGCAGTATGCTGCCCAGATCCCCAGCTCACGCCAGACACGGCCTGTGCTACAATCCCAGGTAGAGAGTCTGCTTCGCAGGACCTACCGCAGATGGAAGGGCAGGAATCCCAGCTTGGGTGCAGGGCCTGCAGTTTCTGAGGTCCCATGGGACGATGTCATCGCCTTGTGTGTCAACCATAGGTTGCGAGACTGGACACCTCCCCGGTTGCCCATCACATCAGGTGAGCTCAGTGCTATGACCGGCACCTCCATCCTGCTTCTGTTTCTTTTTTTTGAGACAGAGCCTCAGGCTATCCCTTGGATAGAGTGCTGTGGCATCACAGCTCACAGCAACCTCCAACTCCTGGGCTCAGGCAAGTCTCCTGTCTCCGCCTCCCAAGTAGTTGGGACCACAGGCACCCGCCACAATGCCTGGCTATTTTTTGTTTGTTGCAGCCATCATTGTTGTTGGTGGGCCCAGGCTGGATTCAAACCCGCCACCTTAGGTGTATGTGGCTGGCGCCTTAGCCACTTGAGCCACAGGTGCCGAGCCCTTGCTTCTGTTTCTACAGAGGAGGGTGTTTATGTGGTGCTATTGCTGTCCCCCTCTCAGATGTTGACTTCCAGGAGATTGCAGGGTGGCCCCAGGTTGGTACTCAGGGAGCTTGTGTGGCTCTGAGTGGTCATCCTGCCTTTACCATACTCTGGTCAGAATCCTGTCCTGACATTGAGCAGCATGGGGACACTTGGAGGATACTTGACTGGAGTGTGGAGGTCACAGAAGTGTCTGACTTTCAGTTAACCAGAAAGGCTTGTCTTTAAATCAGTGAATTTTAGCAAATGTCAAGTAGTCACCTGTTGCTCTTTTAATATTCTTTTTATCTTTTCATGTTTTTTCAGAGGCACTGAGTGAAGATGGTCAGATATGTGTATATTTTTTTAAAAATGATTTGAAGAAATACGATGTTCCTTTGTCATGGGAACAAGCCAGATTGCAGACACAGAAGGAGCTACAGCTGAGTCAGGGGCGGTGAGATCTGTGTGTTGTGTGCATGTTTGTGCTGTCCGAAATGGCACTGTTTTCTTCAAAGCAGAAGAAAATGTCTCATGCATGGAATCCAGCCCACCTTGGGGAGACTGATACACCTTGAGGAACAGATCACTCCCATGTGTAGAAACTATTGTAAAGCAGAGAGAAGTCACAAGCATTTTACCTATCAGATGAACTTGTCCTTGAAGTCACACCTAACTGGGAAAGGGCAGAGACATCTCACACCCTGGGTCAAAAATACCAAGTAAAATGTTAGCCATGCATTCTAGCTCACGAATGGGCAGAAATCTATTAGTACAGTTTGCTGCCATAATTAGAAAACGTGATGATGTCAGTAGGTGTTGAAATATATTCTTTAAAATTTATACCCATTTTTGATAAAATTTCTTACCAAGCTTGAGTAAGAAAAATTTCTTAACTTGATAAGGCTACTTACCATAAAACTGCTAAAGAAGAAGTCATACTTCTCAGTAGCTTATGTGAAACACCAAATTCAGGGCCTGTGGTCCTGCTGTCCACTGTCATCTTCGCAGTCCTGGCCAGTGTAGGTGTGGGATAGATGAGCACAGATACCTGAAAGGAGGAAAAAAACGTCATCTCCAGACAGTATAGTTTTCAGTTCAAGAAAATTAACAGTCAAGCTTCGAGAACCTTTCAGAGTTGATCAGGGTTCTCAGGTGGACCCATAGTACACACAGCAGTGACCCCGATGCATGGTGGAAGCAGCTACAGCTCTTAGGCACCGCGTGCGTGGGAGAGGGGACCAGGGGCCCAGATACCCAGACCTCGTGGCAGGCGGACCTCATGCTGTAGATATGTCAGTTCTCTGACCATGACGTCCAGGCATTTCTGATCAAAACCCAAAAGAACTTTTTCCCTTGGGATTGACAAGTTAATTCTGAAATCCATCAGGATGAGAAAACGTGCAGGGAAAAAAATGTAGCAGTGGATGAGCAAACTCCAAATGAAGTTCACATAGGCCTGGTCAGGGTAATGCCATGGTCTTTTTTCTTTCTTTCTTTCTTTCTTTTTTTTTGAGACAGAGTCTATCACCCTGGGTAGAGTGCCAGGGCATCATAGTTCATAGCTACCTCACTCTAGGACAGGCGTCCTCAAACTACAACCCGCGGGCCACATGTAGCCTGCCTAGGACATTTATCTGGCCCGCCAGGTGTTTTTGCTGCCGCTGCCTGTCCTGCTTAGCAGCCAACTCGTCCCAGGGCCTGCAGTCTGGCCCTCCCCAGTCTGAGGGACAGTGAACTGGCCCCCTGTTTTAAGAAGTTTAAGGATCCCTGCTCTAGGGCTTAAGTGATCCTCTTGTTTCAGCCTCCCAAGTGGCTGGGAATACAGGTGCTTGCCACAATAGTAGAGATAGGGTCTTGCTCTTGCTCAGCTGATTTGAACTCCTGAGCTCAGACAGTCTATCCACCTCAATCTCCCAAAGTGCTAGGATTACAGGTATGAGTCACCATGCTTGGCCTAAAGCTACGGTCTTAAGACCAGATATCATAGGAGATAATGGGTCAACACAGAAAGTTGTGAAATGGAACTGGACGTGACAAAGTATCATGCCAAGGCAGTGGGGAAGGACAGGTAGCAGTGTATTCAGAGAATAGTGTAGGTGCCCTTCCTCCCATGTTGAGATGTCCTCCAGATGCTTGAAGGGCTTAATGCCAAGGCTGAATAAGGTCCTTGCCCGTATTAGGGAAAATAGAGGATCTGTTTGTCACCTGGGGTAGAAAAAAATGACACATAGCAAGAAGCTCCCAGAGCAGAAGCTTCTGGAGAAACAGACGAGTCTCTCTCTGCTGCTGTGTATGGGGGTTGCCACCTGGTGCGAGGATTTGAGGGAGGTCTGGGGGCAGGCATGGGGCAGGCATGGATCTGGGAGGTGCATGGCCAGTCCTGGCAGTGCATATGGGCCTGGGGCACATGTGTTCTTAAATGTGAATGCATGAGTATGGCTCTTTGTCTACATGCCTTACTTGAAGCTGTAAGAATCCTTCCTCTTTCCTAACCATAAATGTTTCAAACCATATACTTGCAGTTTGGGGGTAAAGCCGTTTCATCCTGCAAACAGTCCTCCTGCCCCGTTGCCTCACTCACACCGTAAAGGGACAAGGAACACAGAGCATGGCCATGGGCGGAGGGTGCCCAGCACAGAGGAGCTATTACGAGGTGCCTCCGCTGAGGAGCTTCTGGCACAGTGTCTGTCCAACGGGCTGCTCCTGGAGAAGGAGGAGAACAGGAGGTCAGGCCACCTGGGTCCTGCTTGGGAAGGGGCTGCTCAGACAGGCAGGTGGACAGCCTTGAGGGTAGCAGTGGTATTTGAGCAGAGCATGGGAGTTCCTTGGACAACATGTTTTTCACTGTTTATCTTCGAAGTCAGTTTCATTTCTTGTTTATTTACTAGTGTGAGGATGGTTGGGGCTTCTCAGAGGACGGTGGGTGTGGGACAGTACAGGTGACTACCACACCTTGCCTTGGGGAGCCAGGGCCATGAGCGGGCTTGACCCTCCCAGGAGCATCTTCCTTCCAGGTGCTCACCTCCTGGCCATGTTCACAGTCTACTGAGAAATGAAACCAGGAGGAAGGCAGTGGCCACAGGGCACCCTCCTTAAACCCAAATCAAATAGACTAGATGCCAAACAAGATAATTACAGATGATGTTAAGTAACACAGAGGAATAGTTGGTTTTGGATAAATGCCACCTTTTCATTCAATATAAAGTGGATTTGTAAATTAAAGGGAAGTTACTACTATTTTTTTTTTTTTTTTTGAGACAGTCTCACTCTGTCACCCTGGGTAGAGAACTGTGGCATCACAGCTCACAGCAACCTCAAACTCTTGGGTTCAAGCAATCCTTTTGCCTCAGCCTCCCAAGTTACTGGGATTACAGGAACCTGCCACAACACCCGGCTTTTTTTAGAGGTGAGGGTCTCGCCCTTGTCTTGTCTTGAACTCATGAGCTCAAGCAGTCTACCTGCCTTGGCCTGCTGGGATTTACAGGCATGAGCTACTGCGCCCAGCCAAGGTATTACATTTTTAAGGAGTATTTTCTACTCAGTTGTCATAATTTAGTTCTGTCCTTAGTAAAAAGCAGAGTATATGTAAAGAAAAGGGACATGGCTATGAACTTTGTTCCTAGTGCTCTCATGACTGAACCCATGACCGCGTCTTGTTTCAGGTTTGAGGCTCGACTTCAGCAGTGGTTGTCTGAGGGCTCGGGTGCACTCCCGGAGGCAGCGCCCCTGCCCCTTTACCTCCCTCAGACTCTAGTGTCTCTTCCTCAGACTTTGGAGCCTGTGATGCAGACACCTGTGGTTGCTGGCCGGCAGGTGAGGAGGAAAGCCTGTGTTTAGCGTTGACATTAGATCTAAGACTAAGGGAATGGCAGGTAATGTGGTGTGTGATTACCATGGTCACCAAAGTGGTGTGTGGTTATGGTAACCAATAAGTTATCAGCTTAAGTTAGGTTTTTTTTTTTTTTTTTT